CTAATGCACCCTTTCATCAAAGCCACTACGTCCTAAGTCATTGTAATTTTTTGTGTAGTGGGGAAGCGTCCACTGACGTCCACTATGCCATTATTCGTTACTATTCAGAAGAGCGTGGTGTCCCCTACACACTTGTAAGGCATTGCGTGCACTTCGTTGACGCTGCCGCTAACGACGATGAAGAAATATATCTGCATTTGTAATGGGTTGGAGCATTCAACGACCCACTCGTTACGCAATTCGCATAGAGTGACGCAAGTTTGTTACTTTGCTGTTTTAAAACGATTTCTTACCCATATTACCGCAATTCCTTACCCGACATGAAGCCTGCCTAGGATCAGTTCGCCGACGAGTTTCAAGCAAAGGCGTGGCTCAGTGGTAGGATACTTCGCTGCCACGCAGAGGGTCTAGGCATTTTATATGCGAAGCGTTTCATGGTCAAGCTCAATCCGGTGTGCGGCGTAACCACCTTAACAGCGCATGCGCACCCATTCTCTTTCCTACGCTCTTCCTTTCTCTCCTCTAGACATCCCTCCCAGCATCGTTTACACTACGACTGCGCATGTGCGACCCTTCTCTCCTCTCTTACGCTCTCCTCTCTCGCCACGCAATGCCCACGCAGGCTGCGTCTGCAAGCAACGCCACCGAGACTGGAAAGAATTTCCTCTAGGTGGTGTTGCTGCAAGCCAGTGCTCGCTCCCCTCTCTCTCTTCTAGACATCCCTCCCAGCGGCGTTTACACCCCCGTTGCACATGACCATCCCCTCCCCTTATTATGCCCTCTCCTACTCTGCCCCACTATCTCGCATCGCAACGCCGGCGCATGCAGCGTCTGCTATGAAGTTTCTTGATAGAAAAAAACGACTGCTCGTGCTGCACCGCCGTTCACTGCCCCCCCCCTATATATATAGGCACTAGATCTTCACTTCCAAAGTAGTGCCGTTGCGCGTTAACTAAAAGTGGACTGTGGGCCTCTGTGTCGAATCGGGGTCATCTGTCTCTCATTGCCCATTAGCAACGATTAGCATGTTCAAGCAAAAAACAAAGGCCCATCACTGCGTGCTTTGCGCCTCCCCAGGTTTCTCTTCTGCGCAACTCCATGATGAGCGTCAATTCCGCCAGTGTAAGCGTTAGCGCCCGCTGCTTCCCATCTATACATGGTTCCCTTTAGCGGGAGATGTTGTAATCTTTTATTTAGTTACTTTTTCTCTTATTTCCCTCAACACTGGTTACAGACACCAGCGGTGGCGGCGGCGAACAACTATAGCGCCTTGTTGTCATCTCCTAACAGCTTTCAGTGTGAAACGTTAGCACTCCGATAAAGTTCGGGTCTAGTCTGTTCAAGCTCTCCAAGGTGGCGGTATATAGTCTGCCACCCTGAAGCACAAATTAATTAAACCAGCAACAGTCGGGGGGCACGTTCCATTTGTGCTCTGCAGTTATTATGGCACTGCCAGCATAACTGGGACTCTAGAGGACCAACGCCCATCCAAGGAAATACAAACGGAACACCAACGGGAATTTCAAAGGCGCCAGCGGTCGGCACACACCAAAGATCTTGCACGAAGCGTCAAGCGTACGCGACAGGCCATACAAGACGACGCATTGTTCATAATTACGCCAACTGAATAATTAAATTTATTACCACTGATCGAGGTAACACATATGCGTGTGTACCTTTAGTAACGTATAACACAGATCGAAGAAAAAAAATGTTCAAGTTCACACTCAGTCGCCCAGGGCTTCAAAAAGCGAAGCCATGCGATTGTGAAGTCTAATCTGGTTTCTTCTAGGTTTTTCCTAGGCTTCAGCTCACTAATGCTAGGTTCTTTCTAGGTAGTCGCTAGGCTTTGCTTGTGTGGTGCTAGGTTCTTTCTAGGTTGCTTCTCAGTGCAGAGAGGTTCAGGTTAAATCACAGAAAGTCACGGACTAGACATGGAAGTCCAAACTACAGAGACAGAAACTCGCACTGAAACTGAGCGTTCGAAACTCCCATAGATCTAAAGGAACGTCGTCGTTCTAGGTCTTCCATCGCTTCGTAGTCTTCTCCAAGTCGCTATCACACGTCCCGTCGCGTAGTGTTCTTTCATTGTGCGTGTCGTTGAAGTATTGCCGTACCGATGCTGCAGTGAAGATGAAACGTTCGGCCACGTTGTTTCTCACCTGGTTAATGGCGACGATTTACTAAAGCTTTTCTCAACTTCTACTTACGTCTGTCTATAAATCCTAATTCGAGTTTGCCGCCCGTCTGTTGCTTCCTTCGTTTTTAGAGGACCAGCTTTGAGTAGTGGAATTTGCCTAATTTTCGTGCTACACACCTTTTCTTGATGATGATAGTTTTTGTGAACATTAAAGTTATTCAGCCGGTTTTAGGAGCTTCGCTTTTAAGAGAGAGATGTGATGCGAAACAGCAGGAAGTGGTGAAGGGGAAAGTAGAGACAGAAAAGTAGGGAAGAGAGAAACGGGCGAAGAAGAAATGAATGTAAAAACACACACACAGGAGTGTCGCAATCGTTCAACAAGGCGGGTCGCTCACAGGAACTTCAATAGCGCTTTCGTCGCTTTCAGGCATGAAGCTCGTTCTTTGCGGCATTCCGAGAGTGACTTCTTAGAAAGCGGCGGCTGGTCGTCCAATCGCGCAGGTACTGCTGCGAAGGACTGCCTCTGAGAGATGTACAGAGGGCACTAACATAAAACGTGTCCAATGGTTTCATTGATGCTGCTATGTTCACATGCAGCACTGCCTGCCCATCCGATGCGGCAAGCAAAGGCGTTCGGGAAGGACTCCTTAAGATAATAGGTTAGTTCGTACACTTGGTTAATATGATTCTTTCCCCAATCCACAGTGTGGTAGCCCACCGCGCGAAGCCTTAGCTAACATCCGAGCCTCTCCTTTATCCTCTCTCTCTCTCCCTCTCTCTCTCTCTCTCTCTCTCTCTCGCCTCTGTGTCGTATGATAAACAAGCACGCTGGGCATCCGCTTTTCGAAAGTATACTGGCACAATATTTTTCTATCTACGCGCTTCGAATTGTCCTACACTTCCCAACATAACAATATGAACATGTATAATACACAGGGTAACGTAGAGCTGCAAGCACTGTCATAGCGCAAGTCATTACGGTATGTGACACTTCGAATTTCAATGTATACTGTTTCTCTCGAATGACAACACCCGCATCTGATGGTGTCTCATTTCACATTTGGCTACATGGAAATTCTAAGCCTATCTGACTCGACAAGTAGTCCGCATTACCGCGGGCATACGAAGAGACGCTGTGCAAATGTCACGTCGTCCTTTTCAATTAGCTCAACAAACACAGCTTAAAAATCGGTTTGTTCTTGAAAACATGTGGGATTGAAAGGAGAAGTTGGCAACAGCTCTAAAGCACCCCGAAGCGACAAACTGCGCTTGACGTTTCCAAACACGCGTATTCAGAAAATCACCGAGGCCGTGCGTAGGAGGCATCCAATCCACCAGTTAATTTGCGTAGATGTCTCACTTAGAAGCAGCTGTGCCATACGGGAGAATGCCAAACGTCCGCTGCCTATGACACTATCGATGGGGTGAAAGGGCTTGCTTGTGAACTATATCATTCCTAAATGACTCAGTTCTGCAAACAGTTAAACGGTGCATGAGTCAAATCTGCTACTGCTTGATAATAATATCCGGGGTTCAACGTCCCAAAACCACAATATAGTTATGAATATTGACGCTGTGGAGGGCTCCGAAAATTTCCGCCAGATTGTCTTCTTCAACGTTCACTGACATCACAGAGTACACGCGCTCCTATCATTTTAAATCCGTCGAAGCGCGGCCAGCCGGAATCCAACCTGTGACCTTCAGGACAGCAGTCGAGCACTGTATATAACCATCACACTACCGCGAAGGACGCCGATGCTTGATCAATAAATCATTGGTAAACTAAAATAGTTTAAAGCTATGGAGCAGTCCGGACTCTTATCCTTGCTTGACTACTATCATGATAAGACTGCAGTTCATCAACACTCCTGGATGTTAACAAGAGTACACATTCACTGTAGATGCACATTTACTTGCCCAGACATCCAATAAAACATGTCACTCTAATGAACAAACGGGTGTTTGTTGGCTATCTTAACTGTCTGAGGCTATATCTCGAAACATACTATATCTCGAAACATACTATATCTCGAAAATACATACATGACCTATATCTCGAAACATACATACATACATACATACATACATACATACATACATACATACATACATACATACATACATACATACATACATACATACATACATACATACATACATACATACATACATACATACATACATACATACATACATACATACATACATACATACATACATACATACATACATACATACACTTGTACTGCATTTCCTCCTCTACACATGTCCTCAATGAATAGAGGTCCGGAGGTGTTAGCTTCCTCTGGTCTTTCCGTGAGTTTCTCATGTGACCTCTCTTTCTTTCATCTGTGATAAAAAACACGTAACTATAGCTTCGCCTCAAACAGTGACTTCTCTCCACATCTATAACTTTCATTCCCCCTCCCATCTTCCCCAGTGCAGGGTAGCCTACCGGGCTCAGCCCTGGTTAACCTCTCTGCCTGTCTCTCATCCTTATTCTCCTCTCTCTCCCTCGACTCACTCAAGTTTTAGTCTACCTCATCCCTTTTGTGTGTGTGTGTGTGTGTGTGTGTGCGTGTGTGTGTGTGCGTGTGTGCGCGCGCGCGCGCGCGCGCGTGTGTGTGTGTGTGTGTGTGTGTGTGTGTGTGTGTGTGTGTGTGTGTGTGTGTGTGTGTGTGTGTGTGTGTGTGTGTGTGTGTGTGTGTGTGTGTGCGTGTAAGCGCGTGTGCGTGTGTGTGTGTGTGTTATACCTTACATAATAGATTGGCTAACATCCTTGCCTTTTCCATAACTTCTATTTTCTTTCCTTGCTTCCTACAACCTTTAATGGGGTCCTGCTCATTTTGTCTGTTCGCAGTGTGAGCCCTCCGTCGGCTTGGGCTTCCGGCGGGGCGGTTACCGATGCCGCTGCCGCGAAGGTTTCTACACCCCCGCCTCGTTGGACGACGGCAGCGACACGGCGGCGGCGGGCAGCGGCGAGGCGCTCGAAGCTGCCGCGTCCGCCGAATTTCGCTGCCTGCCCTGCCCGTCCCGGTGCGGCGGCGCCTGCCAGCGAGCCGACGCCACCGAGCAGCGGGAGGAGGCGTGCTTCGTGCAGTACAACATAGCCTGGCGCACGTTGGCCCTCGGTCTGCAGGGCTTCTGCACCAGCGTCACTGTCGTGCTCATGGCGGTCGTATTCAGGCTAAGAAAGTCCAAGGTTCGTGTGCCGTAGAGCGGCGCATGCATCACCGACAGCTAAAAAGCCGATGTTTGGGTAACCTACCTCACAGGTTTTCCGTATACACCGCCTACAGTTAAAAAGCCAATGTTTTGGTAACGTACCTTACAGGTTTCCCCCCAGTGAGTCTCATTATCAACTTTTCCCGGTAGAAAAGATCTTGGGAGCCTTGCCTAACAGCTCATAAGTCCGAAATTTCATACCAGCGCTGCTTCTGTACTCGACGGACCTAAGCGTTTTACTACCGATACACTTCTTTATGTTCGTTTATCATCAAGATTCATACTCGTTTCTGTTTCTTCCCCTCATACTCCCTATTTTCTTGCCCACGCGTAGAGTAGCATATCAAACAGTGTCTAGTCGTCCCTGCACGTCCTTCGTTGCTAATCTCTCTCTTTTCAATCTATCTGTTAAACCATTTTACTTCACGGACGTGCACCTTTCGAGTATTGTCCATCTTATGTATGTCACACTCAGAGAACGAAGGCTGTAAGAATATTTGAGGATTTTAGGCGCATTGAAGTCACCGAATGGCGAGGAAAATTTTGTTAGTGTGACAGAAATGGCAACCTTGTAGCCTTTATTTGCCTTTCTTATTATTTGCCTTCATTGATTTTGCCTTAGAACCAAATGTCGACATCCTGAATAACGTCTGCATATCTTCGCTCATATTTCGCTACTTTGGCAGTGACACTGAGAACTCAGCATGCCCAAGTCAGCAAAAAAAGATAAGGCAAGGGCATTCTGAAAAGAAGCGTGGGCGCGGCACACAGTGGCATATTCGCTTCTGAGCAAGCTGTCATTCCGAGCACCACAAGCGCCTATTGATGGTCACGGGGTGCACGATCGATTGCGACATCCGGACGTCCTGTCATTGTTCGCCAGACACGCACGCCTTCTTGTCCTCCAGTGCTGTAGATGTAGGGGCGCGTTCGGTGCATTTCAGCACGGTGGTACACAGATACGCCAACGTCCAGAAACTCTTATTGTCGGATATCGCGATGTATCGTGTCACATAATGATCATTGCCCAAGACCATGTGGGTGCGAGTGGCACAGGAAGATTGCAAAAGGAAGAAAAAGGAAAGGCTTCATGGTCATCAAAAGGAATGTGGGTGCCTTAACGAGACAGAGGGGAGGGACACCGTTGAAGTGAATTTGAAAACCGACACTTGCGGTTCCTGCAAGATTCGATCATATCTATCTATTCTGGGTCTCAGAGGAAGCCCTGTTGAAACAAATACATGCAAAACAGAGGGGCCCAGTAAGAAAGAAAAAAATGAATGAGCTATAACGAGACACCATATCTAAAATTACCGCTATTCGTCGTATAGTCAAGCATTTGGAATCTGCGCACAAACTCACATAGTACATAGAAAAATGTCCCTAGCAGATTGTGGAAAATCTTCATGTATCCAATAGGTATAGAGAAAGACAGTATTGACTCTTAGAAGCATTAGCCAAGGTGAGAACCCTGATCCGTGCAATGAGGTGACTACACGAGATTCCTTGGTATAAATGTACAGGCTTCATAAATGCCATCATGCTCGTAAAATTCTCAAAGCACGAAACAAAGGTTAAATCTCTCACCTAAGAAATGCTTGAAAGGGGCATACAGGTATACTGTGTAATAATGTATTGATTAAAAATAAGTGGAAAACAAATGCTTCTTTAGTCAACATTTCTACAAGCAGGCTTATCTCCATGTGGGCATCAAATAACAAGTTCAAATAGGGGAAGTTACAAAGGCAATAAAGGCGCACCAAGGGGTAATTGCAAGGAACGTACTAAAAGCTAAACGTTGACTCTAAAGACAATCACTGCTCAACATTTTTCAAACACATCACGGCTTCATCTTCTCTTGAATTTCGGTCGTGTTGGTTGTTACATATTGTGACCGGTGTCTGTCATTTTGTTTTCTTTTCCTCAGATGTTTGCGTCGGCCATGTGGATTCTTCTAGAGGTCATTTTGTTGGGAGCTCTTATTATCTACCAAAACAGTGAGTATCAGTAAATGACTCCTCTGCGCGAGGCCGTAGCGCACACTGCCAACTGTTTCACAAGCAATTTTAAATCTTGACAGCTGTGTTTATCTGTTAATGATCTTGTTTCAGTCACTTTTCTTGACCGATTCCTCATCATCTCGTGTTTTCTAAAATTTCTTATACTTGCAGTTCTTGTAGCCTACTTCAATTTGGCCTGGTCAACATAAGTATAATACTTTTAAAGAGGAAAGTCTTTCTTGGGGACCTTCGACAGAAAGATATTGGTTTGTCTGTCCATTTGTCTGTTTGTGCACCCTTAACGCTACCTTTAAGTTTAAACGCCACCTAACGATAACCCAAACCGCCGACCCCATCCGCAGCACCCACCAATATTGCTCAAGATTCAGCGTTCATACTTGTGCGATTGTGAAATAAAAAGCAATTATTGCGCATATCTGAGGCACCATAACAACACGTCGATATTCTATATGTGTGTCTTTACGAATGCGTATTCTCGTCTCCTCGGAATGGCGAGCACTTCGGCATGCAACATCTGCGCCTGCGAGGAAATGCTTACGAACATTCTATGCCATTGCCCAGCATACCAGTCTGAACGACGTCAGACATACATACATACATACATACATACATACAATACATACATACATACATACATACATACATACATACATACATACATACATACATACATACATACATACATACATACATACATACATACATACATACATACATACATACATACATACATACATACATACATACATACATACATACATACATACATACATACATACATACATACATACATACATACATACATACATACATACATACATACATACATACATACATACATACATACATACATACATACATACATACATACATACATACATACATACATACATACATACATACATACATACATACATACTGTGGCAAAGCCATCGAACAGTGGGCCGTCCTCTCCAGTGCCTTTTAGTGGGTCGCCCTTTTCATAAGAAGAAGAGCAGCTCGTGCAGAGAGTCGGTCCCCGCATTGACTGTCGCTGTCGTGGATCATCAACGACTGTCCGCCAATAAACGTCTTAACAATTTGGTGGAGAGTGCTGCGCCCTTCAAACATCTTCGGTTCCCATTCGATGTCCTTGGAGCTTCGATCCCGTATCGTGCCTTCTACCATGCACCAGGACGCCGCTCAGCAAACGCTCCCTCCTACGCCGACGCTGGTGTTCCCCGCATCCGCGACCCTCCTGTCTTCACCGGCGTGGATGGCACCGACGTCGAGGATTGGCTCGCCATGTACGAACGCGTGAGCGTCCCCAATCATTGGGACGAGGCAGCTAAACTCGGAAACCTGTTTTTATACCTCACGGGTGTGGCCGGAATGTGGTACAACAACCACGCATCTGATTTCCCGACTTGGTCCGCTTTCAAGACCGCAGTCGTCGACGTGTTCGGCCGTCCTGTCGTTCGTAAACTGCAAGCCGAACAGCGTTTACGTGAACGAGCACAGCAGACCGGCGAGTCCTTCACAAGTTACATCGAGGACATCCTTGACTTGTGCAAGAAAGTCGACCTGAACATGTCAGAAGCTGACAAAATCACGCATGTTCTAAAAGGCATCGCCGACGATGCCTTCACCATGCTCCTGGCCAAGAACCCTCACACTGTGGCAGAAGTCATCACATTATGCTAAAGTTACGACGAGCTTCGGAGGCAGCGCTTGATGACCCGTCGACCGCCACTACGTGATGCTGGTCTCTCGGCTTTGTCAGCAGTTCCTGACCACACAACCTTGCTCGCCGAAATCAAGTCATTCGTGCGTGAGGAAGTTGCCCGCCAGATCGCTTTACTGGCTTTTGCTCCACCGCAACATTCTCAGCAGCCAACAAGTACACTTCTACCTCCGCTCCGCCGAGCCATTCAGCAGGAAATCGCGGAGGTCGTTCCTGAATACCACCAGCCGCCTCCTGTATCTGCGCCACTCAGCTACGCCCAAGTTGTAGCCAGGCCGCCCCCACCGATTTCTGTGGCTTGCCCTCTAAGTTACACCGAAACGACCACGAGGCCCCAGGCATTCGGAGAAACTGTGTCGCCTACATACGCCGACGTCACACACGTGCCCCGAGTGCCGCCCACCGTGCACTCATATGAGCAGCCGCCTCGCCCATAGCGTTCTACGACATGGATGGGACCCGCGAACAGATGGCGCACTGCTGACAATCGCCCCATCTGCTTTGCTTGTGGTCGCGTCGGTCACGTAGCACGCTATTGCAATCGTGTGCAGTAACCACAGGTCGCCTCGAACTTTCCAAGCCAATCAAGCCGCTCTTATGACCAACCGCCGTCTATGTCACCGTCGTCTCGCCCCGCTCCGTCTACCCGCCGTTCACCATCTCCGCGACGTCGCTCACTGTCGCCGATGTGGCCATGACCACTCGAGGGCGACCAGGAAAACTAGTCGTCGCAGTCCACGAGGCAAGCGCTGCGACGCTGTCGAACTGTGGAATCCCTCAGGAAAGCCCATCGAACGTGATAGACGTACTTGTGGATGGCGTTCGTGCATCTGTCCTTGTAGATACTGGAGCCGCCGTATCAGTCATGGACGCAAAACTTAGCCGATTACTGCGCAAAGTGACCACGCCACTCTCCGGGCTCTTCCTCCGTACAGCCAGCGCCCAAATCATTCACCCTACGGCGATGTGCACAGCCCACCTTAAGATTCAGGACGTGATGTATGCGGTCGAATTCATCATAATTCCTTCATGCTCCCACGACGTCATCCTAGGATAGGATTTTCTCTCCCGCAATGACGCCGTCATTCATTACGCAACAGCTGAAATAGAACTCGCACAATTCTCTTCTTTGACGCCGGCCGACAGTCCATCTGCTGCAAGCAAGTTATTCGTCAAAGATGACACCCAAGTGCCTGCAAATTCGTCCGCGACGGTGTCGGTCTACTGCGCAAGCCTTTCTGACACCGCTGCACTCCTCTCGCTATCTCATCGTGTTTTCCTCAGAAAAAGCTTGTTGGTTCCTTTCGCGACCGTGCGACTCACTCATGGCAGCACCACTATTTTTGTAGTGAACTCATCCCCGTACAGCGTTACGTTGGTGCGAGGGGAATGTCTCGGCAGCGTTGAACCTATCGAAGACGAACAAGTTATGGATCAACCCGATGACATGCACTGCTCAAGTTCCAGTACGCTTAGTGCTGTTTCGACATCTGCTTCATCATCCGATGATGTATTCGGTCCCTCCATTCCCGAAAGCCTTACGCCACGCCAGCCTTCCCAGCTTCTGGGCCTGTTGGAAGAATTCCGGTCTTCTTTTGATGTCGCCGAACCTTCTCTCGGCCGCACATCCACCGTTACGCATCGCATCGACACAGGCACACAGCCACCACTGCGGCAACGTCCATATCGCGTATCTCCCACAGAACGCCATGTAATCAACGAGCATGTCGACGACATGCTTCGCCGTGATGTTATTCGACCCTCTAGCAGCCCCTGGGCGTCTCCTTTCTTTCTCGTCACGAAGAAGGACGGTTCTGTGCGGTTCTGTGCGGACTACCGACGCCTCAACAAGATCACTCGTAAGGACGTGTACCCACTACCGCGGGTAGATGACGCGATTGACAGCCTACAAGGAGCAGAATTCTTTTCATCCCTCGATTTGCGCTCAGGGCACTGGCAAGTACCTATGGCTGAGGAAGCTCAACCGAAGACCGCTTTTGTCACCCCCGACGGCTTGTACGAATTCAACGTCATGCCGTTTGGGCTGTTCAATGCGCCCGCCACCTTTGAGCGCATGATGGATACTGTTTGGCGTGACCTGAAATGGCACACGTGCCTGTGCTACCTCGATGACGTCGTCGTTTTCTCTCCGGACTTCTCAACGCATCTTCAACGCCTACGGCATGTTTTAACGCATCTGAGTGACGCCAGTCTGCAACTGGACCTAAAGAAGTGCCGATTTGCAGCTCGGCAGCTGACAATACTCGGCTACGTCGCGTCCAAGGACGGAATTCTCCCTGATCCAGCTAAGCTTCGGGCCGTGGCCGAGTTCCCCAAGCCGACATCCGTCAAGGAACTGCGCAGTTTCGTAGGGCTGTGTTCCTACTTTCGGCGCTTCATTCGAAACTTCGCGACTATCATATCGCCGCTGACGAAGCTCCCCGGAAGTAACGGGCGTCTCCATTCGTGGTCATCACAGTGCGACGACGCTTTCACAACGCTCCGTCATTTGTTGACGTCGCCTCCCATACTGCGCCACTACGACCTTACGGCCCCTACAGAGGTACACACGGATGCCAGTGGTGTCGGCCTTGGCGCTGTCCTTGCGCAGCGCAAACCAGGGTTCCCGGAATATGTCGTGGCGTATGCAAGCCGTACGCTTACTAAGGCCGAGACAAATTACACCTTCACCGAGAAGGAATGTTTGGCAATCGTCTGGGCCCTTACAAAGTTCCGACCTTATTTGTATGGTCACCCATTTGATGTCGTCACCGACCATCACGCACTATGCTGGTTGTCGTCATTGAAAGATCCCTCAGGCCATCTCGCCCGGTGGGCACTCCACCTGCAAGACTACGACATCCGCGGGCTGTACCGCAATAAAAGGCAACATGCTGACGCCGACGCCCTGTCACGCTCTCCCTTGCCTGACGACAATGCCCACAACTCAGCGTCTCGCCTTGCCATTTCTTCCATTAGCATTCATACCATTGGTACTTAACAGCGCAAGGCTCAATGGATCGCCTCACTGATCAACTTGCTGGCTGATCCACTCCCTCCATCCACTCACGCGTTGCGTCGTCAAGCCCACCATTTCACCGTTCGCGACGACCTCCTCCACAGGCGCAATTACAACGATGACGGCAGCCAGTGGCTACTAGTCATACCTTGCAGTATGCGCTCTGATATATGCGAGTTCTTTCATTCCGATCCGCAATGTGCGCACTCCGGGGTATCGAAGACTTACCACCG